GCTTAAATATTTTTACTAAAGTGTTTTTCCCACTAAAAATATATTTATAAATCTATTAGTTACTTTCCTCGACATTTGTTAATGAAATTTTCACACCTCAAACAAATTCATATCGAAGTGAGTATCACAAAACGAATGCGTTAAGTAGCTCTATAGCTTCAGAAGAACCAAAGCGTTGATATACATACAAACAGGCTTATTTAAATATGTCTGGATTAGTATGTATCTAAATATATTCTGCTATTTGCATACAAAATTCTCTTTGTGGACTTGTTTGTGTATCTAAATATTGATTTCAAGAGCAACCTTGAGCGCTTTATGAGCTTTGTTATTGTCGCGTTCTCGCTTTGAGTAGCAGAATCAAATTTAAATTTTTAAATAAATTTATTTCAAAGGTCACTGGCTTACCGGTCAGCAGCACAAACGCACACATTTTATCATGCGTTTACTCACTTTAAGACTTTGTTGATTCATTTAATTTAAGATAAAATTGTTTTTAATAGAACTTTTTTCTCATTTGAGAAAAGTTTAGGCATGTTTAGAAATAATTGCGTAATTGGTGAATCAAATATTCAAGTGAAGTTTTTTGTTTTCATTTAATTTTAATTCAAAATTTTATGAAAAAAAACTAATTTATTTAACTGTTGTATATATCTATGTATCTGCATATCTGTATATATAGATAGATCGATAAAATAAATCACACCTTTATTGATCATATCATCAGCTGACTCATATTAATTTTTTGTATTATAGGTAGTACCTTGATTAATTTTGTATTACAAGTATGAAATTTTTCAAGCAAAGTACAAAAGCACGCATAAAATTTTGACTGCTGACATTAAAAGTTCATTTACTTGACAAAATCCAGTTCATCGATTCATTAGTGAAGTTTTTTGTATAAGACTACAAAACGCCTCGAAAATTTTTTGTTTTTGTAAATATATAAGTTGGAATTCAAGTAAGGTATATATAATATTATATAGGTTATAGTGCAAATATTTGAGAGGAAAAATTTACAATGCATATAAAAAAATTTTTTTTTTAATAGGATTTTGCTTGAATCTAATTTTGATAGAAAAATTCAACGATTCCACATATTTCTTGAAAGAGTATGTCACAGACATATGTTTTCGCCACAAACCTTTTCAACAAAATTCTGATATATTTTGAAAATGTCAGATATATTCAAAAACTATTTGTTTCAGGTTTTATAATTTTTTATAATTAACATTGACTACTGCTTCTTTTAAGTGACTCTAATTTAATAAAATTTGTTCAACGTTATAACGGTTTCGAAATTATTAATCTTCAAAATTTTGTTTTTTCAATTTCAAGGGCGCGAAAACTGTAATTTCGCAAATTTTGATGTATTTTTTCACATATAACATATTATAAATATGTATATACTGCAATAAAATAATACATTATTTATAATTTAATAACCGATTACTTGGAAAATGATTTTCAACCCAATGTCGAAAAAGCATATTCTACACTATCAAAGTACGGTTAATAAATTGTGTTACATTATTATGTTTATTATAATTTTCAATTTGTTTTATTTATTTCCTTATTTTTTATTTAAATTTCTTTTTTATGACATTTTCAAACACTTTTTTATTCATAAAATTTTAGTGCAATTTCATCTTTAAAAGAAGACTGAAATTATTTATTTTTAATAATTTGTATGGACGGCACTGCATATCCAATTTTTTTTAATACTCTTTAATTTATTAAGATTCCTTATAAAATGTTGTGTGATTATAGAAAACGCATATAAGGAAAAGAATAATTTGTAAGGTGAAGCAGTAAATAAATTAGCATATATTTTTAAATAATTTATAATTTGTACTATGTTGTCCAAACCAAGATAAGATATTAAAAGTTTGTGTTACATAATTTATATTAAATAAGTCTTTTAATGAAATATTGCTTTTATTATAATTAACTTTTCATGTATTTGACTTTTCAATATAATTCTCAGTTCGATGTTCCAAAACCACTATTTTCACAAGCAAAGTTTTTCCAACATTTTTCAGTTTCTACATAATTGTCACAGTTGATTTTCATATCTTCCAAATTTCATTATATTTCGTCCTTTCAAAACTGTTTCTTATCACAATAAAAATATACGAGTAGCTTGCGCCTTTGCTTACTTTTGCTTTCGGCCGTTACGCTACGCACCGTTTAATGAGAAAAGTACGGTTGATGAAACGTTACGAATACGTGTAAGCTGACGCGTGATTTTATGATTATTGACTTTTTGGTTTGCCCAAAGGATCGAGGTATGGCACAACGATCGCCGCGGATAACCACAGATCAGGTTAAGAACACTCGTGCGAATAAGCGAGCTGCGGCCGGAACGCAATTATTAAATACGCTTCATTTCGAATAAGGTAATGTGAAATAAGGCGAGAAATTCGTGGAGTCACAAAAAATCCAACGACAAAAAAAGCAATCACAACAACAATATAAATTTACAGCAACACCGACAAGAAATTAAGATGAAATTGAGAAGAAATGCCTTAAGTGTGCGCAGCAAACAACAAAGAATATACGAAATTATTCTGGCAATTGAGTGAGAAGTTGCAACGTCAAAAAGTTACACACATACATACATGTAGGTGTGTGTATGTAAATTTATAACAACAACGAGTGACAGCAAACAGAAATATTGTAATGAGAGCGAAGATGTTAATATAATTGGTTGTTGCTGTTTAATTGTCGTTGTTGTTTAAATTTTTATTCGATAATTTCGTTTTGTTTATTTTTTACGATTATTATTTATAATATTTGCACTCTAAGTGAGGATGTACGCAGCCCAATGGCGTTGTTGTCTCTCGGTTTTACCCATTGTTGTCGCTTAAAAAGTTAGCGTCAAGAACATTTACTCAAACGTATGTGGGTGCGGGTGTTTGAAAATTTGAAAAATTCAAATGCTTGCTTTTAATGTTGCTGCTAAAATTTTAAGTAATTTTAATTTTTAATGTTTTTGTTTAACTAAAAATTAATTCAAAAAATAAATATATATTAAAAAATAAAAATAAAAATTTTTCAATTTTGTTAAAAAAAATTTTTTTAATAAATAGAAACTTTTTACAAAAAAGTTTATTATATATATAAATTGTAATAGTTGTAAGAATTATTTTTTTGGAAAAATTAACTAGTTAAGAAAAAATGTTATACAACAAAAAAATATAGGTACTATTATTTATATGTTCCCAAAAATTATGATTTGGTATTAAGAAAGTACACAATTCATTCAGCCTTTTGAATTTAAAAAAATATTTTTTATTTTATTTTAATTTTATTTAATTAATTTTGTATCTGTAAGTATTTGGTAGGTATTGATTAGGTCATAAGCTTTTCCTAAAATAAATTATTTTAACCTTAATTTAAGTAAATGTAATTTATACAAAACAATTAGTTTTCCATTCCATTTTTATTAAAAAATTTAATTGCCAGTTTAAGGCAGATATTTTTTCACCTAAGCTCAGGGTTGCAAACAATGCATTAAAAAAATAATTAAACTAAAATTAAAACAATTTTTTTGTTATAATCTTAGTTAATAGTAATTTCCGAACTTGTAAAAAATATAAATAAATTTTAACCACAAAAAATCAGACTGAAAATTAAAAATTAAAATTTATTATTATTATTATATATTATTACAATTAATTACTTTTAATTATAGTGTATGTAAATAATAATAATACTTCAATTTTTCAATAAAAAAATATTTTATAAATGTTTGGATTTGTGGCAATTTTTTTTAGAAATAGTAATTTTAATAAAACTCCAAAAAAATATTTATAAATTAAATATAATGGTTAAAAATTATTTAGATCTCATTTTTTTTTTACTAAGCAAATATTCTTTTAATAGTTCATTGATTGATTATTAATATTTTTAGGTTGTTGTAATACAAACAAAAAGTTATTGTTTACAAAATTCATTTGGTCTTTATCATCAAATTGTATACTATTTATAATATATCATTATGCTTTTATTTATTTTAATTCGTATTTAAGAAATTTTACTTATAAATTAATTTTGATTAAACGATTATATTCTTTGAGTTTCAATAAAATGTAATAAAAAAATAATTAGTTCAATAAAATAATAATATTTATATATTTTTAATATATCTAAAATGAAATCATAAAAGGTTTGATAAAATGTTCAGACTAATTTGTATTTAATAATTAAAGCGATTAAATCTATAAATTTATCTAAAACACTCTTGGGAAGTTTATTATTTTTCTATTTAATCGAATTTTAAATTTAAAATCTAACAAAGTTACAAAAAAATATTGTTTTAAATTATAAAATCTAAAGATTTTAAAAAAATAATTTTCTAGTTTCTAGTTTCTGGTTTTTTAAGGTATTTATAAAATTGAAAGAAAATAAACATTTTTGATTAAAAAATTTATAATAAATTTAAAATCTATAATAAATTTTTTTTTTTAATTTTGCGTTGAAAATATAAAATTTAAAAAGTTATATAACAAACAGATTATTAGAGTAAGACTTTTTTAAATTTATTTTAATCGAAACCAAAAAATATTTTAAGTTTAAAAAGCTGTAATTATTGAAAAAAACATATTGTCGAAATTGTTTTTAATTCAAAAGAACTTTTATTTGCTCATAATAATCTGAAACTTAAAATTTTATAAATAAATTTTATTCTAAATTTTAAGTAATTATTTTAATTATTTTTTTTTAATTTTTGCTAATAAATAAAACAACAGTCCAAATAATTTTGGACAGAAATTTAATGCTACATTTTATATGTCTATTTAAATATACAAAACAAAAATCGAAAATAACGAATTAATAGGGTTTGAAGAACGAAAAAATAAATTAAAATAAAATTTGTTTATATATTTTTACATATGTACATATACACGTAGCTCAATAATTTATAAAGCATAGTTTCGTCAGTATAACTGCTTATGCTGGCATATTAAGATTGAACATTATTACCAAAAACTTACTTTGAAATCTGCGCTGATTTCAATTCATCCAGATTTTGCTTTAAAACGTCAGCAGACGCAAGTAAATTCTCACACACAATTCACACTTCTCAGTGAAAGAAAAAAATATTTCTTTACTGAATTTTTTGTCACAACTTTTTAAGCTCAATTAAAAATTCCGAAATGCCACTGGCTTTCAAATTTTTTTCAAGTTTTTTGCACATTTATTAATTTTCTTGTTGTTTTAAAGCAAATGCAGCTTCACCTTACGAATGCAATGGGTTGCACACACGCCTCCCTGCGCTGCTGCGGTGATTTTTTGAAATTAAATTCAAAAAAACATTTTTATTGCTGTTGCTTTTTAAATACTATATTTTTAACTTTTTTGAAATTTCGCAACAGGCAGCCCAAAGTGAGTGTGAGCTGTTGACAGCAGAGAGGGAAAACAGCTGTTGTTGTAATTAAAGTAGCTTGTTTCGTTGCTTTTCTTGTTGTCACTGTTGTTTTTGTAGTTGTGTCGTGATGGCTCGGTCGTGCTTACTGCTGCTGCAATATTATTAATTAATATTTTTTTTTTGTATTTTTTAACTCGCTATTAACTTTTGCACTTTTATTTTGTGTTGTTGCAATTGTTGTTGACTTCGTGTGTTGGCAAGTCGGTTTTGAGTGCGAACACTGATTTACTACACCAAAAAATACAAATTTATGCAACAAAAACACACTCACTCACTGCTTTGCTCGAAAGTAAAAAGCGAACGCTTACGAATTGGAGCGTTTGAGAATTTTGTAAATTTTTTAAATGAAATTTTTTGCAATTTTCTTCAACTCAACGAAAGTAAGAATATCCAACGGAACGCGTTTAACGCCTGTGTATGTATTTAGCACATTAACATATACGCACATATGTATATATATATATATAATTAACCACACATACACCCTCTCGTCGACAAACCGATTTGTGGCCGTCGTCTGCCTGCTTAAACTGGTCGGCGCACACTGAAGTCAGCGAACGCTTTTGCAGCGCCGTCAAGTCAATCAAAAAGCCAACGCGGTGGTAGCGTATGTAATGGAGAGACGGTCTCAAGCGCTCAGCAAATAGACAAAGCGCCAAAGCTAAGCTAAACTATAGACACACATATATAGGTACAAACATAGTAGCTAGACAACTTGAAAGCGCACCGATTGTGGCTAAAAAGCCAAATCTCGTGTCAAAGAGCGCATTAAAGCTGTCCGAAAGCGAAGGCGAGCGAGTTGGCCTGCTAGTCAGCAGCTGTGGAGGCTAAAACAACAGCTATCAGTTGTTTCGTGAGCTACTAGTGGTAGCTAAATGTTAGTCAAAGTGGTATGCAGTTTGTTGTTGTTGTTTCTCCATATTTATTTTTGCTGATTTTCTTGTGGCAATTGCTTACTGGACAGTTATGCAAAGCTTGGTGGCTAGCAGATTTGGGAAACACTGCCTAGGCGCTAAGTAGACCCGCAAAAGATGCTCACTGAAGTCATTTCTCATGCGCTTTTGCTCATATTTGTGTTGCTCTCTTCTATGCTTGTGTATTTGCTCATCTTACTTAGCTCTCATTCTCTCTCACTACCTCTTTGCACTATTTAGCTTCTTAAGCTTGCGAATAATTCGAAGTAAAGTTTATTGCAAAAACAAATGCTCGCATTAAATTCAGTAAAGATCAATGTTTCAATTCTTAAGCATTATTGTTACAGTTGTACCTGAGAGTGTGCTATCAAAAAGTTTGCCAAACAATGGAGAGCGCTACGCAAGCGCATTTACTGAAAAGTTTATGGCATACATACATATACATATATACAAAAATAAATATGCATAAATACTCCCATATGCATAAAAAACAACAAAAATGCATAATTATACTTTAAACTCATTACAAATACAACAATTGCTACATCATGTACATATTAATATATAGTAAAGTACATATGTATAAGTAAAAGTATATATGTATTTTATACAACCTCCGTCATCACCATTCAAAGCCGCCATTATTCTGTTCAAAGTTTTGCCAATTGTTGTTGTTGCTACTTGTTTGTAAGTTGCACATATTTACACGCTCACTCGTTTCTGAGATCGTGCTAAGTGTAAATTTGTAAATATTTGTGTTGTAATTTTGTTTTAGTATGTTTTGCTATTAATGTTTGGTCCAATTTTTTTACATATCTGAGAAGTGAGACAGACCTAAAATAATGAAAGCGAAAATAGTTGCATTCAATTGCATATTGTAAGTCACAATTTCCACTCGTTTGCTATTTTCACTCAATTGAAGCTCAAATTGGCGCAGATTAAGTCAGCATGGTAGACTGTATAGGCGAGGTTTCCATATTTCCCGTATACAAAGTACAATTTACTTTGAATTTTAGTATTTTTAAAGAAAGTCTTTTGAAGAAACTCAAACTTTTTGAGGTTAGATTAACTTGAGGAACACTCTATGTGTTTCTGGTACATTGCGAATTTCCCTAATGACGTTTTGGTAAGGATTATTTCTTAAATTTATGGATTTTAAATAGTATTGTGGAAATTTGCTTGTCAAAAAAGAATCTAAAGTAATTTTAGTAATTAATTAATTAAGTTTATTGAGGTTAAGTAATCTTGGTATACTCATTTACAAGAATTCTATAATTCCACTAGAATATAAATTCAAATTTTATAAGAAACTGCTGCAGTAAACCAATATTTTTACTTTAAGCTTGTATAATGGTCCATATTTTTGTTGTATTTAATTGAAAAGGATTTTAATTCCATTGAATTAAATATTATAAAAACTGAACACCAATAATCACTTGATTCTAAGTTGAGTTAGTGTTGGACACTAGTGTGGGATGCTCGTACTGGACGAAGAAACTAAACGTAAGCTCTAAATTTATAAGTCCTTAATAAATAAGGTTACCTTCTAACACTTTTAACATTAGAAGCCCACGAATTATTATAATCTCTATTTTTAAAATAATATTGCAATGATCGTCACGAGAAGTAGGAGATGCTCAACTAAGTAAGAAAGAGAAGATCATACCTTAAAGTTGTTGAATTCTAAAATTTAGTCTGATATGAATTCAGCTATCCTAACACAACTTTATCTAACATTTTTATACCGTGAAGGTATAGGTTATATTATGTTTGCCAAGAAGTTTGTAATACCTAGACCGTTTGTCTGTCTATCTGTACGAACTAGTCCCTCAGTTTTCGAGCTATCGATTTGAAATTTTGCACTATAGCATATAGCTATCATACAAACTGAACGATCAAATTCTCGTCCTTATATGAAAAACTTTTGCGTTTGATGAGGTATCTTCAAGAAATGTGGCATAAGTTATTGTTCAAGGCAATGGTGCAATCTGCGACAAGTTTTTTCAGATCGCATGTCTATAGCATATAGCTGACATACAATCGGAACGATCGGTATAAAGTGCTTGTATGGAAAACTTTTTCATCTGACGAGATATCTTCGAGAAATTTGTGTAAGACATTGTGCAAGGCAACTTTACAATCTGTGAAAAAGTTTTTTAGATCGAACCTTTAGCATATAGCTGTCATACAAACTGACCCACCAAAATCATGAAAACAACTTCATAAAAGTTCTTTTTTTCATATTAAGTAACTTAAATTCGACTTATTTGCATCAACCAACGTTGCTATAAAGAGCTAATATAACAGTTTCCGTTAGATGCAAACCGTTGGCTACGTTTTTAAGTTACACATATTGTTATAAAAATGCAACTTTGAAGGTTATAACATTTAATGTTTCTTCTTATTTTGAAGAACTGGAGAATTTTTTCCATAAGTATTGTTGTTCGTATTCAGTTACAATATTTTGTGGTTAATTAAATTAAATGCTCGAAAGTTGTTTCCTATTCTGATTCTCAAATAGAAGAGATAATTAATTTCGAAAGCAGAGCAGTGATTTTAGAAAAGTCACCGACCTTTTGACATCCATATTTATACATTTTTAATACATGTATTTACTTAAATGAGGTCTATTGACCTTTCCAATCTGATGACAATTGGTTAGTCTGGTTCAATGCATTTTTTTCATGACTTAAAAGGCATTTTAAGCCACATTTCCACGATTTCTCTTTCCGCTCTCTCCTCTCTCGATATCTCAAGTTCATTTCCCAATTAAACGTTGACATCTCGCTGACCATTATTCAAATTATGGTATTTGTTTTTAGTCAAAAGCACTAATTGCCTGCAATGTGTTATATACTCATTAAAATTATATTGCTTATGCCGTATATTTTATGTGGCATTCATTCATATTATGGCCGATAAGTGGACTTAAACGCTCATAAAGTAATCGTTTACAATATTTTAAGTACTTCAATCGTTTTTGCTATTGTTGTTGCTTTGCTTGTGCGCATTCGATGACATTTTGTTCGGTTCAATGCGCTGTTGCACTTTTTTGCTCTCGCTGTTTGTTTTAGTATTTCAATGAACCTTTACCCTAATTTAAAATATTCAGTAATTTATTTTGCTAAGCGCTTATACTTGATATAGCGGTGAGTAATTCTGAAAAAAATTAATGGTTCATCATTTTCGGCGATTTCTTAAGACTTCGCTATATTGTGAGTGCTTGCTTCTTTACTCCTGTTTTTCTTATATACATGTGAGTAAAGCCTCTCTCTTAACAGTTAGTCTCGTAATAATTAGCATTTCATTTGGTTTGAACTTAATATCATTAATCATCTAATTTAAAAAGAAAAACCAAAGTTATGACTAATTTGTATTTAAAAGGAATCAAGAGTATAATTTGAAGTAATTGAACTTTTAGGGGTAACTACATACATTTTCGAAATCACAGATACCTACGATTCAAATACTATGACTTTTACAGCTCTCACACTAAACAAATTTTGTGTAAATTTAAGCGAAAGAAAGTGAGTGTAAAAGAACTATACAAATTATTTCTCTGTGAGAAGGAAAATCTTTAAGTATTCACAGTTTTCTGACAAAAACACTCCCCAATACATGTCTTTAATTCAACTATTTAAATTCTAATATGAATACCATTTTCATTAATGCAATGTTGATATGGCATAATTTCCATAAATTTCATTTTTAGGTTTTAAAAACGCCAGCGTATCATAAGTCCTAAAATTGATTCAATGCTATGTGATGCTATTTCGTTAAATTAACCTGTCTGAATCAGAAGTTTCAAAGAAAGTTCTCCTGTCAAAATGAGATCCTCAAGAAGCGTTATATTCCACCTAAAGCGATAGAGAGCAAAATCAGACATTCTGTTACTTAAGATAATCCTTTTAAACTCTATGTAAACACCACTTAATTGGCCAAAACTCAGATTGTAGAACAGTTGAAAATATCGGTTTCTATGCAAGATACTTTCCTTTACCAGCTGAACTCTCCAGGTAAATTTCATTATTATACACAAAACTACTAGTCCCTGTTATGGAGGATGCTTCCAACATACCATAGATATATGCGAATCATGGCCCGATATACTAATCTTTGATGAAAGAGGATCTCCCGATACACTAGTACCTTTCTCTCTTAGTCGGTGCTCTCTAGAAACTAATCCAATGTGTTTTGAAATTTTTACTTAGAAATTTTAGCTTTATTAAATGCACAAAACAAAAATGTTGTGTCTTAAACTGCGGGTTCTTGAAGACTTTAGATTGCAGTTATGTTGCAATCTGTGACTAGAATCATTGAAATACAAGCCAATGTAATAAGCTCCATGTTTAAGAATATCGTACGTACTTGGAGAGTTTACTCACGAAAGTTGTTTGTCACTAAGCGCATTTTTGTAGTTCAAATCGAATTTTCCAAGGGGAATAACCTTCGCGGTTTGCAGAATGAATTTATTTTTTAATGAGCACAGATATTGAATCCCAATGTGAGAGTTAGCAAACTAACATTAGATATTTGGAGATATCAGAAACAAAATTCACGCACAGCTTTTTTCAACAAGGCAGAGGATGATTCGTAGGCAAATTATTCCAAAAAGTACCTTCCATAA